CTTCAATGCAGAAGTGCGCTCGTTTGTAAGTGCGCAAACTTCCTATTTAGTTGTCTGTGGGGAAAAATGACTAGGAATAATAATTGGCAGAAAAAAAAAGTCAAATAGGGCTGGGTGGTATGGTATGATCGCGATAAATCTTTTCATATCACTTATCTTTGACCATGACATGTCCACACAATAAATGGTTATAAAAGACATGTTTAAGGTATATGCAGCATTCTTCATATATTATTTTAAATAAGGAGATCTCTACTTAAATATATACTTAGCTACAGCCATATCGCCCTGCAGCCCAAGACTGGTTACTGACTAAATCTTAGAAGGGCTGAGATTGGTCAGTACCTGGATGGAAGACCACATGAGAAAACTAGGTTGCTGTTGGAAGTGGTGTTAGTGAAGCCAACAGGGGGAGTCCTAATGCCCAGTAATAGTGAAAGAGACAACATACTGTCAGTGGGTGGCGTCATTCAGGTGAGACGTAAACTGAGGTCATGACTCTGTGGTTGTCTCATGGCACTTCTCGTAAAAGAGTAGAGATGAAACCCCAGTGTCCTGGCCAAATTTCCGTCCATCGGCTCTAATGATCGTGCCTCCCAATCATCCCCATCCACTGAATTTGCTCTATCACTGTCTCTCCTAGTGGATGCTGCACACTGGTGGTGTGTGGAGTGACCCCCCTTATGATTGTGAAGTGCTTTGGCTGTATGGCCATACACAATAAATGTGCTGTATGAAAACACATTACATTACATTACTTAGAGCTGGGGTCTCAAACTCCATTTACCTGAGGGCCGCTGGAGGCCAAGTCTCGGTGAGGCTGGGCAGCATCCGATTTATTTATATTACTAATTACTAATTTCTGATATGTTTATTTTTTCATCTTATTTTGTGTTAAAAAATAATAAGAAAATAGAAAAAATAATTTATTTAAATTTATAAAAAGATTATTCATTCATTCAGTAATACATTGTAGTAATAATAATAATATTAATTAGATTTACTGTTGTCCGCTGTGCTGTTGTTAAAAAAAAGCAACACTGTGTTGTTGTCATTTGTTTTGACTACTTTAGATCATATAAAAATATATGTAAGGTTCATAGTATGAGGCAATGAAAATACAATGCAAGTAGCGTGATGCAAATGACCCACAAATAACAGTGCAACCATATAATTGGTCTTGTTACCAGTGACTCTTATTGCAGATGGACAGGTTTCAATATGTAACAGCAGAAGAATACATTAGGCTGCACTGGGTTCCTTTCTTTTCGTTTATTCCTTTTCTTTTATTATTGTATGCAATGCATCACTTAGAGTTATTGTAAGGTCTCTCTCAAGCAAAATAACTCTAAGTGCTATTTCAGTTCACTTCCAAGTGAAAAATAGTAATTAAAATGACGCACTCTGTCTAATCTTTAAGTAGAGCCCACAGTAGCTCTTCTGTCATGTTCTGTAGCTGACTTGACATGGTGTTCAGATCCAGTAACGCAGTTCCAGTTTCTTGAGATCTCTTTTAAAAAGCCTCATTATCAGATTTACTCGTGGTTTTAAAGAAATGAAAATAAGTTTGATTGCCTCTTTGCTATTTTGAAAATACAGATATTATTTAGGTAGGCCGTAATGCCATTATTTATTTTCACTGCGCGCAAAGCAATAATCGCCAACCAATTCAAGTAAATATAAACGTAAGAAAGATGATTGGCTGAAAAGATTGTTCAGGGGCCACAAAGTATGCGGGCCGCAAGTTCGAGACCCCTGACTTGAAGGGAAAATGTGCTTTATGCAATGGCAAAGTTATAGCTTGAAGGATCAGAATCGGTAGTCTGTGTCAGCCAATCACTATGATGAGGAATTGATACACTGTTTCGGCTGCAAAAATCCTGAGTGGAGCATCCCTAGTGTATACAAATTTAGGTAAAAAAATAAAAAATAAATACTTTTTTTTTTTTTTTTGCAAAAAAAAAAAAAAAAACATTCATTAAGTTCTTTTAATTTTTTTTTATGCTGAAGTACATTGACTTGAGTAAAACTTGAGGCTTTTACTGGAAAATGTTTTTATTACAAAATCTGCACGTTCACTCAAGTACTTGATTTGTGTACTTCATCCACCACTGCTGGTTAGTAAATATGTGCTTGTCCAGAGAAGCATTGACAGCATTGAGTAGGTGGTGAAACCTGAAAATACACAGTGCTGAATCTACACAAACACCAAAATAAACACTATATTTGAACAAATCTGTCAAATAAATGCCACCTGTTCATCTGCGTGCAAATTCAGTGTCAAATATATCACATTTATGGCTTCCATTTCTATCCGATCTTTATGTTATTGACAGTTTTAAAGGATTAGCATAAATCTTGTGTGACACTGTTTAATTATTGATATTTAAGTTCATCTCAGAGGTCAGCACTTCGACATCCCAACACAACATGGCATTTTTATATGAATTAGCATGAATCGTGAATATTGATGAGGTGTTGTTGTGACACTCTGGCCTGGGAGGATTATCTAGCTATGCGCAGTAATATTCATGAGGCCAGTGTTCTCACATTATAACCCTGCATAATGAGACTGAGCTCAGGGCGCAGTTGTTCATTCTGATCGGCGCAGTTTTCAAAGGACCAGAGGAAATGTTGCAGGATCAGTGTTTTGCTGAAGGTGCTTTCCTGTGCAGTGACAGTCCTGCGCAGCGACTGAGAGATGTTGATGCTGATGGCAGAAAGCTTAGCCAGCATTTTCCATCTCCTTCTCCATCTCTTTCTCCTTTGCCAGGGGATCGAGACTGATGCCTAGACCGAGCCAGCTTTTCTAATCGCTCTGTTAGCATCACTGGCGATCAAATCGGCCAAATCAGAGACTGACACTGTAACAATTTCTGACCAGAATTGGTATTCCGCTTATACAGTTAGTTTCATTTGTCTAATTCCAGTGGACAAGAGTCAATTGCGAGTTTTCTGGTGTAATTTAGAAATGGTTTTGGTGGCACAGTGCATATACAAGCCAACAGGTTGAATTTACTTTAAACTATAAGTGGTTTGAGAGAAGCGTTTTTAATCAGTGTCACATTGATAGTTTTTTTTTAATAAAGCAAATACCTGAGTAATGTTGTTTGATGTAGTTTTAATCATTATATACAATACCGTTTGGGTTTAAAACTTTTTTTTCCATTAGTATGCTTTTGGAAGAAATTAAGAAATACATTTTCTGCATTCAATTGAACAAAAAAAAAGGTGTTTAATAGTTTTTAAAGTCACCAAAGTTTTTTTTTTTTTTTAGGGAAAGTGAATGTTTTTGTTAGTTTCATTGGTCTAATTCCAGTGGACAAGAGACTGTTGCAGGTTTTCTTCTGTAATTTAGAAATGGTTCTGGTGGCAAACAGGACATATACAAGCAAATGGGTCTAATTTTGTCTGGTGGTGGTTTTACAGAACTTTATTGGATTTAAAACATTTTTTGTATTTGTTTGCTTTTGAAAGGAAAAAAAAAATATATATATATATATATATATATATATATATATATATATATATATATACATATATATATATATATATATATATATATAATATTTATATATATATATATATATATATAATATTTATATATTATATATATATATATATAAATATTATATATATATATATACAGATATATATACAGATATCTTATACAGATATCTTATACAGAGCATCTGTTTTATGAAGTCTGCTGTTGAACCAGACTGCTTATCAAAGTCCTGTTCGTGCAGTGCATGATATATTTAAGTTTATAAAGTCACAATATTTTTTTACTGAATGCCGTTCTTTTTTTTCATTAAAATATCCAGAGAAGAAAATAAATATATATTTCAATATGAAAGATAAATTACTATAAAATAAATTAAATTGACATTATCATCATTATTGTTAATATTATTATCATAATCATTATTATTATTATTGTTAAATAATTCACAATGTTACTTAATAAGTGTAGCCTTGATGAGCACAGTTTTATTTTCATTATTTAATCACACAAATACAAAAGATATTACCAAGCTCATACTTTTTTACCAGTTGTGTGTGTGGTATTCTATATTCTTAATGTATCACACTGTTAACAATTACCTGTATAGTCTAACTTACTGGCAGCAGTTTACCAGTAACTTACTATAAATCAATTACAGCAAAATTACTGTATTTACCTTTACAGCACCATTTATCTTGTATTCGCATTTACAATATTGCCTAACTTTACTCTAAAACATACAGTAACTTTCACAATGCAACTTTAAAATACAGTAACATACCGTAACAACTTTTGTAAATCAATTACAGCAAAATTACTGTATTTACATTTACAGCAATATTTATCTTGCTGCATTTGCATTTATAGTATTGTATAACTTTACTGTAAAATACAGTAATTTTCACAATGCAACTTTAAAACACAGTAACATTCTACATAACATTATACTTAACATTCTACATAAGCTGTAAAATACAGCTAATATTACAGTTAAATACTTTGTAATTTACAAAAACTAGTAACAGTGTAGTATTGCTTATGTTTATATATTACTCAAATGAATTACTCCACAAATCAGTAATTATGCAGTTAATATGCATGAGATCCACAATTAAATCTTCAGTTTATGGATTTGATCAGTTGTCTTCTTTCGCCTGTAAATCTGAATCGATGCTAAGTGTAAACAACATTGTGTTTAGTCCTGGTGGGGAAGTTCTTTTGTACAGGCTTCTCTTATGAATACAGCGGTTGACCTTAGCCATGCCTTATACAGAGCATCTGTTTTATGAAGTCTGCTGTTGAACCAGACTGCTTATCAAAGTCCTGTTCGTGCAGTGCATGATATCTTGTGGTTTATTCTTTCCTTGTGATGGACACTCAGTTGCTGAGATGCCCCTGGCTTGCCTTCCATCTAGCTGCTTTCTCCGAGTGATGTCCAGCATCCCAAGCAGCGAATATTTCCCACTGATCGCACCTTTCTCTGCTCTCACAGGTGGACGCAGGCTGGATCGGCTTCTGGTCCATAGTTGGAGGCTGTGTGTTTGGTGTGGCCATGGCCAGGTGAGTAATGGGCCCATGCATGAGAAATGATGCTGCTGTGTCATACATTAGCATATGTTAGCATCCACTTTACATTTGTTTATCTGAAAACTTGGAGAAGTCGCAGATTAGTTTCTTCATCCTCAAAGAAACCTGTAGTTTTCACTCTGTCTAGGCAAGGCAAGTTTATTTATATAGCACGTTTTACACACAATGGCAATTAAAAGTGCTTTACATAAACTAGAATATAAGAAATAAAAACAACAAAGAACAAAAACAGATTCAAACGTGTAAAAACTGGTTTTAAAGGGATAAAAAAGAAAGGCATTATAGTGTGTTCTGTCAGACATGGTTTAGTGAGGTCAGTTTCTTTTAATTATTTTTAGCGATGAAGCTTTTCATGGGTAAAATTTAAGCGATTTCTTAACTTCTTAGTGAGCAGTTTAGCATGCTGACTGCATATTGTAACTGTTGAGGCTGTCAGCATGTTAAATACCGCTTAAACCTATCCCTTTTAAAGCTCTGCAGGCACAGCCATTAAAGCATCTCTTTTGTAACGAATCCACTGCTTTGAACAAAACAAATATTGTTGAAATCCAAGTCTATTTTATGTTTGATGTACACTCACACTGATATCTGTGCCCATTTTGTTGTATCGGAGTGGGTTCAGTGAGTTTAAAAGTACTTAATGACGTAAAAAAAAAATACTTCTACAAACCTTGAAGAAAACCTTGTGTTTACTTACAATTTTATTCTTTCTTACCACAGACGGTATCAATGAAAATAATCTCAGAAGAGATAAAAATGAAAAAAAAATGGACAGATTCTTTTGTGAGGGCACTTCAGTTGCATTTTTATTCTTTGATTCTCTGATTGATAGATTAGCAAATGGCTTATCTAAACACTGCTGTATTTTAAATTGTTAGAAGACATTCAGAAAGCTAATGTTAGAGGCATTTTTCTTTTTTGTTTCTTTTTTTATTTGCTGTTCCAGTCTCATAACTTGTATGTCTGCATTCCAAACAACAACTTGACTTCTAGTTTATCATTTGGACAAATGGAAAAAGGTTCATATTTCAGATGAATCAAATGTTGAACTGTATCACAAATACTGCAGCAGACCTATTGGAGCCCGCATGGACCCAAGATTCTTACAAATATCAGTCAAGTTTGGTGAAGAAAAAAAACATGGTTTTAGATTACATTCAGTATGGGGGCTTGCGAGAGATCTGCAGAGTCGATGGCAACATCAACAGCCTGAGGTATCAAGACATTTGTGCTGCACATTACATAACAAACCACAGGAGAGGGCAAATTCTTCAACAGGATAGTGTTCCTTTTCATACTACAGCCTATGCATCAATGTTCCTGAAAGTAAAGAAGGTCAAGGTGCTCTAAGATTGGCCAGCCCAGTCATCAGATATGAACATTATTGAGCATGTATGGGATAAGATGAAGAGGGGCCATTGAAGATGAATCAAAAGAATCTTGATGAGCTCTGGGCAGCCTACAAGAACACTTTCTTTGCCATTGCAGATGACTTTAAGTTATTTGAATCATTACAAAGATGTATGGATGCCATCGTCCAAGCTAATGGGAGTCATACACAATATAAATTCATTATCCACTGCACCATGACTTAAAATTTTAAGCTCTACATTATTTCTGTTAAGTGAAAAGACTTTAAGCAAAGTCAGACCTTACTGTCCTAGACAAAGCAAGGCAAAAAAATAATAATAAAAAGAAATCGAGACATGATCTTGTTTTATTTTGGTCAAATACTGTAAGAGTAATCTAGAGGCCTTTGCCTTTCATATAAGCCACTTCTGATACCAAATGATCAATTAGAAGAAAAGTTGTGTGTGTGTGTGTGTGTGTGTGTGTGTGTGTGTGTGTATATGTTGTATATTATATATACAATATATAAATACATATACATACATACATACATATATAAATGTATGTATGTATATGTATTTATATATTGTGAAAACACATTGTCTTCATATTATTTAAAGAGTTTGCTGCAATATTGAGCTGAAGCTTGACTTTACAAAATTTAATAGTAATTTAAGTTTAAATAGCAATATCTGTCCATAAATCCAAATCACACAGCCCTACTACAAGTTGTTAAAGCCACTTAATATATAAACAAGTCCACTTTTTTATAACATAATCATTATAAAGTATTTTAAAGAGGTATATTTCGCTTGACAGCATTGTGAAGGGGAGAAAATGTTGACGTCTCATAAAAACAGGCTTTTAAGACCAGTACAGGATCGATTTAGGAGTGGGCTTATGGCAGGTGGTAATTCTACAATGACCATCGCACACAAAACTTTTCACTAAATCAATTAGGGCCAACCACACATAAAATAATTCATATTTAAAATATTATTATAATTATATGCAGGTTGTATGCTGAGCCCCTGACAGAAAAAAACTACTTGCAGAGGTATAAAGATATGAGCAAAAGAAGAAAAAACTAAAATATGCATTGTTATTTTCTACTTGTCAAAACAGTGATTCAGACCTAATTATTAAAGTTTCATGACAATAATGCTAGAATGCTGACATTACTAGAAACTTTCTAAGGTTTTTTTTAGCTTTTAAATGGCCTCGAATGAGTGGATCCGTGGCAACTAGGCATATAAGCCAGTCTCCAACTTGTGTCATACTTTTCAGATCAGTCCTGTGCTCCTGCTGAAAGCGCGTTTATTTTGTCTTTGTTAGGCTTTTTTTTTTTCTGGGTGTTTTGGATCCTCCCAGATCCCAAAGCTAATTTATTCTCTTCCTGCTAATTTATTAAAATCAGCTTTTGTTATGAACAGTGGGTGAAAATGCTAATGAAATGGTCATGTCACACAGACTGATTAAGACACTGGCGTAGAGTAGAGAGGAAGAGCAAAATGTTCTCTGCAAAAAAGCAAGAGATTTGTGTGTCCCTGATGACTAAATGTTTGCAGGAGGACTTCAATCAGCACATCCAGCCAGGTTTTGCATTCTGAAAACCTTTTAATTAGGCAAACTCTGAGTTTAATCAGTTGCCACATTGCTGCATTGGATTCGGTGTTGGTATGAGCATTGCTGTTAAGATTGAAAGCTACAAAAGGCCAAATTTACTAAACAGGCAAATTAACGTGAGAAAACAATCCCATTAAAAATTGCAGGTGGTCTTCACTTATGATCATATCATGCTTTTAATAGGACTTTGATCATTCCTTCAACAACTTGTAATGTTGGAAAGACTTTTTAAAAACTTATTTTTATTAGTTTGAACTGATATATTGTCTGTAAAAAACTGTAAATCTTAATATATGGAAACTTTCAAATGATGTAAATATTTTATAGTGCATGGAAAATTAAAATAAAAAAAGGAAAAAAGAAGGGGGTGTTATGCTTGGTTAGTAAAAACGTTCGAGGTTACTAAAGTAACCCTTCGTTCCCCGAGGAGGGGAACTTCAGCACTATAAGTGGATTTGATTGTAAAATCCACGCATTGGGAGGTTCGGTTCAGAAGCTACTCGTCTGAAAGAGTATTGAACGGGCCAATTAAGAATGAATTGGCAGCGCAAGCCTGCGCAGGTGAGCGGCATAAGCAATCAACTGAGTATATAAGCTCACCTGGCGCCAGCAGACGCTATCCTTTTTAAGCTGAAGAGACTTTCAACAGCTAAGGGACAGTCATTATGGCGACGGAGTATAGTGCTTCCGTTCCCCTCCTCGGGGAACGAAGGGTTACTTTAGTAACCTCGAACGTTCCCCTTCGGGGGGAACTTCAGCACTATAAGTGGATTTGATTGTAAAATCCACGCATTGGGAGCCCATTGAAAGCGCCATAATGACTGCACCTTACCAACACCCCCGATGAGGAGATAGTCAAGCAAGCGTGACGCACCCACATCATGGGGGGCGCGGTCCTCCAACGTGTCCCTGGCCCTAATTTATCCTACTTCAACAGAAGTTTTACGGATTTATATATATTTTTTGGGAAGTCGTGAGCATCTAGATAATTCTAGGAAAATACGACAGTACGTTGGGAAGCGTGCAATCCCGATAGGGAGGACGCTGCGGAGGCCATCCGTTACCCAAGGGGGGATAGATGGCAGAATTTACATATGGACTAGCCCTAAAAAGGGGGAGTACGCATAGCAAAAGAGTGGTTAGCGGGGAGGGAAGACACGGGTCCGCCCAGGGGGGGGGACTTAACCGTGGCTGAATAAGCATATGGGATCGCCTAGTGGGGACCACACATAGCAGGCACCTTTACCCAAAACGCGGGCTGACCAGCGGGCAGACCTACAACGTAGTGGGCCAGCAAGTGACTCCTCCGCTGAGTCAGTGCTGGGGGCCACGGAGGAATCTGCAGGGCTCACCTGACGGGGAACTTTACTGACAGATAAAAAGGCGCACGTATCTCCGTGTTAGGGAAAATGGCGCAGCAAGCGTGTTTCAACACCCTACCGTATTGTTCCCTCAATCACCAAGGGTTACCTAATACCCTTGAGGAAACCGGCTCCACTCGCAGATTGTAAAACCTTGCAAATGTGTTGGGTGTCACCCAGCCCGCAGCTCTACAGATGTCTGTTAGAGGGGCGCCGCGTGCGCGCGCTCGAGAGGATGCGAAGCTCCGAGTGGAGTGCGCACGCGCTCTCGGGGGACGCGGCTCATCTCGGCTCTGATAGTGAAAGAAAGGCATCCACAATCTAGTGGGAACTTATTTCGGTACGGCACTTCCCTGCTGCCGACCGCTATAACAGACGAAGAGCTGCTCAGATGATCTAAACTCTGAGTGCGGTCCGGATAATACGCAAAACACGAACTGGACAATAAATAAGGGCTGGGTCTGCCTCCTCCGAGGGCAGCGCTTGCAGGCTCACTACCTCGTATTAAAACGGAGTGGTAGGAACCTTGGGCACATATCGCGGGCGGGGTCTCAGGACGTGAGAGAAGCCAGCCCAATTACAGGCACGAGTCACTGACCGAAAAATGCCTCCGGGTCCCCGACCCTCTAATCGATA